GGTCTCCTATGTGGGTGGCAGGGGCTCAAGCACTCAGGCCATCTTCTGCTGGTTTCCAAGGCACGTTAGCAGGAAGCTGGATCAGGAACAGAGAAGCCAGGACTCAAACTGGCGCTCATATGGGATGCCAGTGTTGCAGGGGGAGGCTTAACCCACTGTGCCACAATGGTAGCCCCTACATGATTTGCGTTAGTGTTCTATAATGTCCGTACAGAATAAACTGGCCTTAAGTCTGTCATGTCACTTTCTTGTTTTTGGTAAGGTTAAATTTTTAAATGTTCTATCATACGTGTCTAATTATGGTACTAGGCATATACTTGTTTTGTTTTTGGATTATTAAAAACTCAATTTTATATATGTTTCTTATTCTCAGGCTTCAAAAAAAATTAAAACACAAGCTCAAGTTTTCAGTTTTATTGATAGCTAAGTAATAGAAATTGACTCCTTTTAATGAAAATCTCCCAAGTATTTTATTTTATTTTATTTTATTTTTTAAGATCTACTTATTTCTTTGAAAGGCAGAATTTCAGAGAGAAAGCTTCTATCTGCTAGTTTTCTCCTTAAATGGCTGCAATGGCCAGAGCTGAGCAAATCGGGAGCCAGGAGCTTCTTTCAGGTCTCCCCCTATAGGTTCAGGGGCCCAAGCACCTGGGCCATCCTCAGCTGCTTTCCCAGCAGCATTAGCAGGGAGTTGGATCAGAAGCTGAGCAGCTAGGATGCAAACTGGCGCCCATTTGGGATGCTGGCACTGCAGGTAGCAACTTTACCCACTATGCCACAGCACTGGCCCCAAAGTATTTTCTTGTGTGGCCAAAGTTTACATTAGTTTTCTATTTTTTTTTTTTTTAAGATTTATTTATACCAGGGGATTCCAATTCAATCCCATCAAGGTGGCATGTGCCAATGCCATCTCACTACTCCAAGTGATCAATTTCAGTTCACAATTGATCATAATGAAAGGACTAAGAGTCAAAGGGAGCACATAAACAAGTCTAGTATCTGCTAACACCAACCGATAGAATAAATAAAGGGGAGAGTGATCCAACATGGGAAGTGAGATACTCAGCAGACTCATAGAATGGCGGATGTCCTAAATAGCACTCTGGCCTCAGAATCAGCCCTAAAGGCACTCGGATCTGGCTGAAAAGCCCATGAGAGTATTTCAGGCATGGAAAGCCAAGACACTCTGGCAAAAAGATCTCTGTGAGTGAGATCCCAGTGGAAAGAACAGGTCTTCAAAGAAGGAGGTACCTTTCTCTGAAGGGAGGAGAGAACCTCCACTTTGACTATGACTGTGTCTAAACAAGATAAGAGTCAGAGAACTCAAGGGGCTTCCATAGCCTTGGAAACTCATAACTGGTGCATAGGGAGATTACTGATGCCATAAACAGGAGTGTCAGTTGGTAAAGTCAACAACAGGAGTCACTGTGCACTTACTCCTCATGTGGGATCTCTGTCCTTAACGTGCTGTGCACTGAGGCTTAATGCTATAACGAGTACTCAAACAGTATATTTCACTTTGTGTTTCTATGGGGGTGCAAACGACTGAAATCTTTACTTAATGTACACTAAACTGATCTTCTGTAAAAAAAAAAAAAAAAAATTATCAATTCCCAACTTGACTCTCACTGGGATTAAACATGACAATAGGTCTGATCTGATTTCATCATCATTTAAAAAAAATCATCTATTATTTTTCACTTTATGTTTCTGTGTGGGAGCAAACTGTTGAAATCCTTACTTAAGGTATACTAAGCTGATCTTCTGTATATTAAGATAATCGAAAATGAATCTTGATGTGAATGGAAGGGGAGAGGGAGTGGGAAAGGGGAGGGTTGCGGGTGGGAGGGACGGTATGGGGGGGAAGCCATTGTAACACATGAGTCGTACTTTGGAAATTTATATTCATTAAATAAAAGATAAAAAAAAAGATTTATTTATGTATCTGAAAGGCAGTTACAGAGAGTCAGAGGTAGAAAGAGAGATAGAGGTCTTCCATCTGCTGATTAAATGGCAGCATTGGCCAGAGCTCCAAAGCCAGGAGCCTGGAGATTCCTCTGGATCTCCTATGGGGATGCAGGGGCCCAAGGACTTGCGCCATCTTCTGCTTTCCTAGGCCACACCAGAGAGCTGGATCAGAAGTGGAGGAGCCAGCACCCGAACCGGCACCCATATGGGATGCCAACACTACAATCGGCAGCTTTACCCACTATACCACAGTGCTGGCCCCAATTTACATTAGTTTTAAAGAACTCTTTCTGCCTACCATAAAGATAAATAAAATCCCTACTCATGAAGAAACACTGAGCATTTGAATTAGCCTGTTCTAGTCAGGATGTTTCCAAATCTGATTGTTTTGCTTGTCTTATTTTCTTTGTAAATGATAAGAAATATTTCCTTACTTTTTTTTTTTTACAAATATTTTCGTGAGTTTTTTTCTCTCTAGTAATGAATGGATATATAATAATATGTAAAACCACATTCAAGTGAAATTCATCCTTCAGTAGGTAAAGCTAGCTTTTTTCCACAATTGGAAACACCAGTAATATCACTGTCATAATGAATTTATTTGAAATAAAACCTACCACCATTTAAATGCTCAGGTTTTCAACAGTTTTGAATGAAGAGCAAAACAGTTGAGATTTTAGATGAAGACAGAAAACAGTCACTAGAAAAATTACAAATTTTAGTTGGAAAACATTCATAGACCACTGTGTGGTGGAAGTATGAAGAGTGGGACTGTTTGCTCTGATGCTTTGCCTGAGCCTTTAAAAATTATTCCCTGATGCTGCTGATACACACTGAAGGTACTGCATGTTTCAACAAAACTGGTTTTCTGTACATGTTTCACCGACATAAAAGGTTCTTTTAATTCACTTTCTAATTTCCCCAGTTTGTGATTGCCATCTTCTGTCTTGGTATTTGGATTTCTAGAAATAAGATGATGATAACAAGCGCTGGGTCAAAGAACTGGGAAGTTAGCTGGGTGCAAAGTGAGTAGTTAGGGAAGATCAGGGAAGAACGTGATCGCCCATTTCTTCTCTTTGACATTTAAAAGCCTTTTTTGGTGTAACTGGCAGAGTCGGAACAAGAAGTCTCAGTCAGTGGTTGAAATCTGTTGCAGCTCAGGCTTCATGCTGTTTCCATTCAGTTTCTCACACTTCATGTTTCTTAGCTTTTCTGTTCCATTATGTTTCCAAGATATTAAGCTTTTAGAGAAAGTTTGATATATATTTTGGTGCAAATTACTTCTATCCAAAACAAGAATGATACTGTGTTTGAGCATAAATTATGCAGTATCACTTGAAGTAATATTTAGTAACTAGTATCTCATAACTGTCATGGCCTTCAAATAATGAAATATATACCATGAAAGTAAATGGATATTAAAATCCTTTGGAAAAGATAAAAATTCCCCACCTCTGTTTTCTTGCATGTTATTATTATTTCTCAACCTTAGTTGCCATGAATCAGTGCAACTTTACTCCCCTAGGAAGAAAATACTAGAATCCTTAAGTTTACACAAATATTTCCTTACCATATTTTAATCACACTTTTGTCCTCCAAAGAATAAATATAACCAGAGTAGATTCATTGTTAGACGTTATTTTTAAATGAATTGTGTTATAAAATTTGAATGTCAAAGATCTATTGATAATTTTCCTGAAGTTGCTCTGAATTTCTAACCTGTCCTTTGCATAAAGTGTGTAAAATATCTTAGTCCTTTAAGAAGTATAAGCTTGGGCCAGCGCCGTGGCTCACTAGGCTAATCCTCCGCCTTGCGGCGCCGGCACACCAGGTTCTAGTCCCGGTCGGGGTGCCGGATTCTGTCCCGGTTGCCCTTCTTCCAGGCCAGCTCTCTGCTGTGGCCCGGGAGTGCAGTGGAGGATGGCCCAAGTACTTGGGCCCTGCACCCCATGGGAGACCAGGATAAGCACCTGGCTCCTGCCTTCGGATCAGCGCCGTGCGCCGGCCGCAGCGCGCCAGCCGCAGCGCGCCGGCCATGGCAGCCACTGGAGGGTGAACCAACGGCAAGGGAAGACCTTTCTCTCTGTCTCTCTCTCTCACTGTCCACTCTGCCTGTCAAAAAATAAATAAATAAAGAAGTATAAGCTTGAAATGATGTTACATAAACTAAAAAATAAATTCATCCTATTTGGGGTCTAGTCTTTCAGAGTTACTTTTCTTCCCAAAGTCTGATTATGTAAAGTTAGTGTTTCATTAATTTTATTGCAGTCTTTAACCTATTATGTTTTGAAGTGTTATCCTTCTATGTATAGATCTAAAGCAATCAAAAAAATCCAAACAAACTTTAATAGCTGATCCCTCATACTAAAGCTTTCATCTTTGAACCTTTAAATCTCTTTTGTCCCTTGAAACATTAAAAAATACTTTATTCTACCTGGGGGAATATTTCTAGTTCTTTGTACTTCAGCTTGCAATATTTGCTTTATCCAAAGTTGATTTGATCCTTAGGAGAAACGCTGACGTAAAGTATCAGAAAACTAACTAAATCAGATGTTAAAGATAAATGTGAAGAAGAATCTCTTTCCGGGGTAAAACTGTATCACTATATAGTCTTTCAGAGAGGGTCAAATCTCAGCTTTCACATTATTTTGTATTGAATAATCATAAATTGGACAATGATCAGCCTAAACAGTTTGACAATGATTTGTCTTTTACATCACTGTGTTGTTAGCTTTGTAGACTGATTGACAACTAAGTACTTTCGCTGACAAATCTTAGTTTATTTCTTAACAGGTTACCTATCTGTTATAGAAAATTCTTAACATGTTTTCATAAGAAATTTCTTATGCAATCTCTTCAGTGCATATGCTAATTAATTTTAAGATAGTATCATTAGAATAATGTGTATATAGTTATGTACAGATGTGTATGTTCCAATTATAAAATATGATAAATGTATTCAATGATTTTTATATTTTTTTATTTATGAAATGTGGTAAATATATTCACCAATTTCTCTTTATTTCTTGTAGAGTCATTTGCCCTGGCTCCATAGTTCCCACCCAGGTTTAGAAAAAATAAGTGCTATAGTCTGGGAAGGAAATGACTGTAAGAAAGCAGACATGTCTGTGCTTGAAATCAGTGGAATGATAATGAACAGGGTAAGTTTGGAAGTTTTATTCTTCTAGTTCAAAGGTAAAATTTAGTCATCAACATATAAAATAATTACTGGAATGTTATACTAATAACCTACTTACCTTATTTCTTTACCCTGAAAATAAGTTATTTATGTGTAGTTGCCCCCATCTGTCATTTAAACAATGATTTGTACCAAACCACTATCATCTTTTAGTCTTTTTATTCTTCTGACCAAGAATATATGATGCAATTTAAAATCTTCCTCTTTTATGTTATCCTTTCTGTTACTTTCGGTGGATGATTTTGAGGAGCTGCTAAATATTTATTTGGACATTGATAAAGATTTAACTGTCTCATTTGCTTATTAGTACTCAAAAGTAAAAGAAATAAAAATTAAACTAGATAATTTGTATTCATACTTGTCTACCTATTGAATATATAGAAGTAATGATGACAGTGATAATGATCTTGAGTGGTTTGAAAAGAAATAGTACAAATACTATACGTTCATCAGAAATTACAACTTTTTAAAATTTACCTGATTTCTCTAGACAATTAGCCAGGGTCTAATTTTGAGTTCTTAATTTCTGAAGCACATTCGGCTCCTGAAGTTTATGTGATTGCATTTGGTTCTTTGGTGCATTATCATGCTAGAACTCTTGTCTACACTTTTCATAGAACAGAAATTGAAATAATCCAGTCTGGAAGTTGAGATAGTACTTACTAAATACCTCAGTGTGGTTAGTTAGAAGCAGCTGACTAGGGAGTTTCTGCAGACTTGGATCTAGTTGTACTCTGTGACTTCACTGTGAGCTGGCAATAGCTTTGAGTAATCTCCTTTCTAATATGATGAAAAGTTAGCTACATGACATTTAAGATCTCTTTCCGTTGTATCAATGTAGTATATTGGAAACTACTATATTTTTAAATTCTTTTTGTCATCTCCCAACCTTTTCACTTCCTTTTCTTGCCCCTCTATCATGTTCTCTCTTCTAAGAAGATTTTGGTTTAAGGTGATATGAAAGTCAGAGTTACAGAGAGGCAGAGGCAGAACGAGAGGTCTTCCATTCGCTGGTTCACTCCCCATTGGCCACAAAATCCCATGAGGGTGCAGGGGCCTAAGGACTTGAGCCATCTTCTACTACTTTCCTAGGCCATAGTAGAGAGCTGGATCAAAAGTGGAGCAGTTGGTACTTGAACTGCCGCCTATATGGTATGCCAGCACTGCAGGCAGCAGCTTTACCCGCTATGCCACAACACTGGCCTCATATACTTTTTAAATTAATTTTTATTTTTAGTTTTTAAGATTCAATATAGTTCATAGATACAATTCTAAGGATATGATTCTCCCTTCCTCCCTACCCCCTTTCCCTCTCTCTCTCCTACTCTGTCCTTCCCTCTTGCCCCTCTCTTTTTGTTTCTTTCTTGAAATAATGAGATACAATGAAATTTTTGTTTAAGATCTGAATAAGACTAAGACCATCTATACTTTCACATTAGAGATTTAATAGTGAATTATTTTAAAAACTGAAGAAATAGTGATATTTTGTGTGTAGTAGGCTGTCAAACTTGAGTAGGATTTCAGTTTCATTATTTATTAAAAGTAATGTATTTTATCAAAATGATCTCATTGTTATAAGTAAAATAACACTTTTTTTTTATTGATTTTACTGTATTCATTTCATTATAGATAACATTTCTGTACATTTTTTCCCCTTGTTTTCCTCTTTCCTCCCGGCTCCCTCAAGGTGAACAGCCATATACCAGGAATAGGATACCAGATTTTTGGGAATGTAATCTCCCTAATCCTGGGTTTAACTCCATTTGTTTTCCGACTCTCTCAAGCCACAGACTTGGAACAACTCACAACACACTCCGCTTCAGAACTTTATGTGATTGCGTTTGGTTCTAATGAAGACGTGATAGTTCTTTCTATGGTTTTAATAAGTTTTGTGGTTCGTGTGTCTCTGGTGTGGATTTTCTTTTTTTTGCTCTGTGTAGCAGAAAGAACTTATAAACAGGTGAGTATAATTTGTACTTCTAAATAAAAAATACTATATTCTTTCTGTAATATTCAAAACACTCCTGAAGTATTTTAGTATTTCATTAAACCATTTGACCTAATTTTGTTTCTGTTTTGCTTTTATAGTATCTAACCAAATAAAACCATAACAAGCCATATTTTGTTGGCATTTTTCTGTGATAATCTACTTGAAAGCTAATCCACATCTTAATCTTTTTTTAGCGATTGCTTTTTGCAAAACTCTTCGGACATTTAACATCTGCAAGGAGAGCTCGAAAATCTGAGGTTCCTCATTTCCGGTTGAAGAAAGTCCAGAATATAAAAATGTGGCTATCTCTCCGTTCCTATCTGAAGGTAGAATGGTAGTGATAGAAGTACTCTTTCTGTGTTAACTGCCTCTGATGGGTCCATTTTTGTTGTCGACATGGGTGTGTCTGTTGTGTAGTCACCAATTGATTCAAAATCTAGATTGATTTTGTTTCTGCTCATGAAAGTTATCACAAACCAGCAGAGGGAGCTCACCACTTAAAAAAGAATAATAATAATAATTTAAAAAAACACCAATAATAATAATAATAATTAAAAAAAAAACACTAACCCTGAGCCTTCTTACTGAAATGAGCTATTACTATGTTAAAATATTTAACTTGCAATTTCAAGTCATTGTTTTTATGTTGTTCTTTCCCTTTAATCTTTTAAGTAATTTTCCTACTTATGGAAATAAGATATAAAAACTCTGGAGTTCTGAGAAAAAGAAACATATGCATTAATGTTAGTAAAACACTTTTTTTTTCCTGAGGATTTTTTGTTGTTGCATTAAGTAACATCAGGTTTCATTACATATGGATAATCATATTGGTTCAAAGGTGCTTATTCCCAACATTTACCTGTCTTACAGAAGTTGACTCAAAGACCAATATTCTCTGGTATACCTAGATCCTTTTTCTTTTTTAAGATTTATTTATTTATTTGAAAGAGTTAGAGAGAAGAAGAGACACAGAGAGAGGTCTTCCATCCACTGGTTCACTCCCCAAATGGCCACCACAGCCAGGGCTGGACCAGACCGAATCCAGGAGCATCATCTGGGTCTCCAATGTGGATGCAGGGCCCCTTGTGCCATCTTCCACATTAGCAGGGAGCTGGATCGGAGTGGAGCAGCCAGGAGACTAACCAATGCCCATATGGGATGCCAGTGTCTCAGGCAGTGGTTTTAACTGCTATATCACAATGCCGACCCCACACCTAGATTTTTAATTCAATGAACAGAGTTTCTTTAAAGTTTGTACTATTTTTACCCTATATTTTAAAATTTGGTTTTATATATATATATATGTATGTGTATATATATATATATATATATATATATATTTAATTTGAGATAGCCCTCTCCTATCTGCTGGTTCACTCACTCCTCAGATGTCCTCAGTAGCCCCAGCCTACCTGAGAGCCTGAAACTCAATCCAGGTTTTCCCAATTAGGCGGCAGGACTGCAACCACTTGGGTCATCACTGTTGCTTCCCGAGGTACGTGTTAACAGGAAGTTGGAATCAGGAGCTGGAGCTCAAACCCAAGCACTCCAGCGCAGGACACAAGCATCTTTACAACTCAAGTCAAATGTCATTAATTTAACTTGTTAAACTCAACTCATTTAGTCTCCACTGGGAAATGATGCAAATTGGCATAGATTATTTTTCCTTGCTGTGACATTTCTGTCTCGTGGAAGAAGGAGTATGATCTTTGTTTCTTGGATTAGTGACAATCCATGCAAAATTTCCCTTTATTTTCAGTCCTAAGTAGGTATTGATGATTTTATTCCATAAACCTTTATTTAATGTTCATCGTTAACTCACTGTTGATGAAATAAATAAAGTCCTAGCCTTAGGAGCTCACATTTCAGTGAAGGAAACATGGAAACCCAGACCTAAGAATTAGCCTTTATAGCAGTTCTGGCATCCAGTTTATCATCAATTCCTATCCCTTCTGCTTACAAAATGTATCTTGAGTTCATTTATTTCTCTTTGTTGACATTTTTGCCACTCTAATTGAAACCATCAATCATCTTCTGCAGTTGCCTCTTATGTTCTCTAATAATTTGATGGTATCAAGTCATAGATTTAGGTCTTTAATCCATTTTTAGTGGATTTTTTTGAAAAATTTTTTAATTTATTTCAAAGGCAGAGTTTCAGAGAGACAAAGGCAGAGAGAGATCTTCCATCCGATGGTTCCCTCCCCAATTGACTGCATTAGCCAGAGCTACACTGATCTGAAGCCAGGAGCCAGGAGCTTCCTTCAGGTCTCCCATGTGGGTGCAGGGGCCCAAGGACTTGAGCCATCTTTCCCAGGCCATAGCAGGGAGCTGGATCAGAAGTGGAGCAGCTAGGACTCAAACTGGAACCCAGATTGGATACTGGCACTCCAGGCAGCAGCTTTACCTGCTTAGCCACAGTGCTGGCCCCTTGAATGGATTTTTGTGTAAGGTGTAAGGTAGAGGTCTTGCTTCATACTTCTGCTTCATACTTCTACATGTGGAAATCCAGTTTTCCCAGCACCGTTTGTTGAAGAGACTGTCCTTGCTCCAAGGATTGATTTTAGCTTCTTTGTCAAATATAAGTGGGTTCTAGATGCTTAGATTTATTTCTGGCATTTCTGTTCTCTTCATTGGTCTATCCATCTGTTTTCGTACCATTACCGTGCTGTTTTGATTATAACTGCCTGGAAGTATGTCTTGAAATCTGGTATTGTGATGCCTCTGGCTTTGTTTTTGTTGTATAAGATTGCTTTAGCTATTCGGGAACAATTCTTAAAACTTTTGGAGGTTCTTTATTTCTCCTAGGATAAAGAGCAGAATTTTTTTTTAAAGATTTATTTATTTATTTATTTGAAAGTTAAAGTTACATAGAGAGAGGAGAGGCAGAGAGAGATCTTCCATCAGCTGGTTCATTCTCCAGTTGGCCTCAGTGGCCGGAGCTGTGCCAATCTAGAACCAGGAGCTTCCTCCAGGTCTTCCCACATGGGTATGGGGCCCAAGGACTTGGGCCATCTTCTACTGCTTTCCCAGGCAATAGCAGAGAGCTGGATCAGGAAGTGGAGCAGCCGGGACTCGAACCGGCGTCCATATGGGAGGCCGGCACTGCAGGCAACACTTTACCTGCTTCGCCATAGTGCCAGACCCAAAGAACAGAATTTTAACATGGATTACAGTGCCCTCTATGATCTGGCTCCTCCTGTCTTGTCATATTTTAAAAAAACACTTTCTTCCCCAGCTTCTACATTACAGCATACTAGAGTGCTTCAGTTCTTTACGTATACAGTCATGGTTCCTGCTAGCTGCTCTTGCACATGCTCTGCCTTCTGCCTAAAACACCACCCTGTGCCCTCTTGCTCCTGCCCTTTAGAATGGTGTAAATATCTCTTTCGTAGGGAGATCTTTCAGGCCCCCTGCTAAATCACAAATATATATATTTTTTTAAGTGTTATTTATTTATTTGACAGAGAGAGAAGTCTCATTCACACGTTCACTTCCAAATGGCTGCAGCACAGCTGAACCAAGTACTTTCCCAAATGCTTAGCAGGGAGCTGGATCAAAAGCAGAGCCCCTGGAGCTTAAACCAGCAGTCCAGAATGGGATGCCAGCATTGCAGTGGCTGCTTAACCCACTGCACCACTATGCCAGCCCCATAAATCTCAGATCTAAATGAAGTCCCCCTGCCACTTATCTCAAAGCATCTTACTTATACTTGTCTTTCATAGCACCCAATACAGCTTATCACATATATCTGTAGCTGTGGGCTTGATGTCTCGTTCTCCTGCTAGTTCCTGTAAAGATAGGGACTGTGTCTGTTTTGTTTTGTGCTGTGTTTCTAGAACTTAGCACAATGCCTCGTTTTGAGCTAGTGCTCAAGAAACATTCATTAAGTAAATGATTAATGTCTGAAAAAATGAAAGATTTGAAAGTTATGATAAAAATTCTATACTGTTTATAGATATTTTCACTATGTTGCAACTCCTCAGTAAAGAGTTAACACTTAATTAAAATTTATCTGACCCATTAGGTCTATTTCAACACTGTAAGCTGTGATCAACCCACAGTGATGGGTCAGCACGTTGACTGAAAGCATAGGGATTCGCTGCTGATTAGTAAATCTGTTTACAGGTATTTTCCCTTTTCTCTCCCCGCAGCGTCGAGGTCCTCAGAGATCAGTTGATGTAATAGTTTCATCTGCCTTCTTGTTGACTATTTCAGTTGTGTTCATCTGTTGTGCACAGGTGAGTTACCTTGTTCCATGTAGAACTTAAACACATACAAAAGTGAAGATTATTTCTAATAATAAATAAGAAGAGTAATCATATAGCTGAGCCTAGTTAGCCAAGTTTTGAAACTGACTTTTTGCAGATTTTTTTGGTAGAATAAATAAATGCATCTGTTCATCTCTGTCATAAACAGTAGGCATATGCTCAAATGTCTGTTAAATAAACATGTAATAATTCATTCTTATCTAGAATCTATCTGATTATTTCCCAAAACAAACATGAGTCAGTAGAGTTATGAAGTTGTTCCATGAATCTTTGATTTATTCACATTTAGTATATTTTATTTTTTATCTCTGTATTGTCACTATGACTTATGTGCCCTGAAAATAAGTTCTCAGTGAAAACAGTTCCCAGACTAGTTAAGAAGCACAGAAGTATCTCAGGATATATTCAGGGCCAGTGCCGCGGCTCAATAGGCTAATCCTCTGCCTGCGGCACCAGCACTCTGGGTTCTAGACCCGGTCAGGGTGCCGGATTCTGTCCCGGTTGCTCCTCTTCCAGTCCAGCTCTCTGCTGTGGCTTGGGAAGGCAGTGGAGGATGGCCTGGGTGCTTGGGCCCTGCACCCACATGGGAGACCAGGAGGAAGCTCCTGGCTCCTGGCTTCAGATTGGCGCAGCGCCGGCCGTAGTGGCCACTTGGGGGGTGAACCAACAGAAAAAGTAAGACCTTTCTCTCACTCTCTCTCTCACTAACTCTGCCTGTCAAAAAGGATATATTCTGTCCTATAAAATGGAATGCAAATTTCTGTTTCAAGTAGTATGACATAGGTAGCTTATCTGAAAATTTTTCTGCTGTAAAGCACCAAATGACTCTGGAAGGACAAAAACCTAGCTTTTTAAATATACCTATGTTAGTGTGTGTGTGTGTGTGTGTGTTTACAGATAGAGTTAGTGAGAGAGAGAGACAGAGAGAAAGGTCTTCCTTTTTCCGCTGGTTCACCCCCCAAAATGGCCACTACGGCCAGCACTGCGCCAATCCGAAGCCAGGAGCCAGGTACTTCCTCCTGGTCTCCCATGCGGGTGCAGGGCCCAAGCACTTGGGCCATCCTCCATGGCCCTCCCGGGCCACAGCAGAGAGCTGGCCTGGAAGAGGAGCAACCGGGACAGAACCAGTGCCCCAACCGGGACTAAAATCTGGAGTACCAGCGCCATAGGCGGAGGATTAGCCTAGTGAGCCGCGGCACTGGCCAGTGTGGGTTTTTTTTAAAAGATGTATTTATTTGCAAGGCAGAGAGAGAGAGAGAGAGAGAGAGAGGTCATCTTCCATCCACTGGCTCACTTCTCAAGTGGCCGCAATATCTGTAGCTGGGCCAATCTGAAGCCAGGAGCCAGGAGTGGGTGCAGAGGCCCAAGGACTTGAGCCATCTTCTACTGCTTTCCCAGGCCTTAGGAGAGAGCTGGATCAGAAGTGGAGCAGCCAGACTAGAACCAGCCCCTATTTGGGATACTGGCACTGCCTGCAGCAGCTTTACCTGCTATACCACAGCACCAACGCCCTTTGTTAGCAGTTTAACATCCATTTTTATACCTATGTAACTTCACAAGACAGTAATGGCCAAAAATGAACATAAAGCCAAAAACCAAAGCAATCAGAGATAAGCACTAATACTGTGGCAGCCTGAGGACATCTTTTCCTGCTCCCATGTCAAGAAGTTAACAAAGAGGTTCTGGACACCGCGAGACCCTACAGAAGCCAAACTAAAACTGTTCTGGAGAATGTGACTGCAGTTTGGATCTCACTGGATTTCTGCAGGTCAAACCTCTCAGGTTGCAGAAGAGTGAGGAGTAGTCCATCACTGTCTGTCAGCAAGCCAACAGCTGGATTAATAGACTGATCCTACAGAAACTATAAGTTCATTTAAAATGATTAAAGACATAGGTAACACAATGGGGGAAAAACATAGATTTGGGAAATAACCAAATGGTACTTCAGAGAAATGAAAAATACAATCATTAATATTAAAATCAATGAACTGAATAAATAAAGGCAGTTAAAGACACATTTAGTGAACCGAGAGATGGAAGAAGTGACCTGGAATGCAGGTCAGAGATGAAAAGGGGAAATGGGGAAAGCGTTAAGACATAGGTGGGCAGTCTAGCATATGAGAGTACTTCAAAAAGTTCATGGGAAATGGAAGTAAAAGATGAAATTATTTTGGTGCAAAAGGAAGTTTTTTATGGGGGCGGGGGACGCAAGGGGAACGTGTTCCATCTGCTGGTTCACTCCCCTGATGACTGCAACAGCCAGGTCTTGTCCGGATCAAAGCCAGGAGCCAGGAACTCCATTTAGATCTCCCACGTGAGTGGTAGGGGCCAAGTACTTGGATCATCACCTGCCACCTTCCTGGTGCATTATCGGAAAGCTGGATCAGAAGCAGAACATCCAGAATTCAGACCAGCACTCCAGTGTGGGATGCCTGTATCACAAGCAGTGGCTTCACCCACTATGACACAGGCCAAACCCTGCAAAAAATGTTTGAAATCCATGCACAGGAGGCTTCTTGAAAAAGTCATAAAATGAGAAAACGATACATTAATTTCAAGCTTTTTGGCAACAACAAAAATAAAATTTTAATTCCATTTTCAGTGAAGTTTTTGAAGGACTCTGTTATGTTTGATAAAAATTCCAGGAGGAAGATTGAATAGGGAAGAGAAGCATTTGGAGAAATAACAGCTAAGAATTTTCCTGAATTGATGGAATTCTCTACAGGCACAAACATAGTTCCTAAAACTCCCATGGCCTAAACGACAAAGTCATTTTCTCCTAATACCAAATAACCATTTATATAACATGATGTAGCTGTGACACAGTCAAAATAAAAAACAATAACAGCAACAAAAAAACTCACTTTTTTTGGAAAAAATGTTGAAGATTGATTTATTTGTTGTTGTTTGAAAGACAGAGTGACAGAGAAAGGGGGAGACAGAGAGTGAGATCTTCCATCTGCTGTTTCACTCCCTAAATGCCTACAACAGTTGAGCTGGACCAGGCCAAAGCCAGGAGCCAGGAATTCCATCAAGGTTTCCCATGTGGGTGGCAGAGATTAAATTCCTCCAATACATCCCAGAGGCATTCATTGTCAGGGAGCTGGGTCAAAGCAGAGTAGTCAAGACTCAGACCGTCACTCTGAAATGGGATGCACTCATCCCAAACAGCAGCTCAACCTGCTGTGCAACTGCACCTGCCTCCATCTGGAAACTTTTAAAAGATAAGTAACAAATTTTTAAAAGAAAAGCACAAAGGGGCTGGCATTGTGGTGTAGTGGGTAAAGCATCCACCTGCAACACTGGCATCCCAGATGAGTGCTGGTTCATGTCCTGGCTGCTCTACTTATTATACAGCTCCCTGCTGATGGCCTGGTAAAAACAGTGGAAGATGGCCCAAATGCTTGGGCCTCTGCCACCTGAGTAGGAGACCTAGAAGAAGCTCTTGGCTCCTGGCTTTGGCCTGGCCCAGCCCTGGCCATTGTAGCCATTTGGGGAATGAACCAGCAGATGGAAGACCTCTCTCCCTGTCTTTCTCTCATTCTCTCGCTAACTCTTTCAAAATAAAATTTTTTAAAAGAAAGAAAAAACAGAATTAAACTATCATTGAAATTTTAGGTTTTTTTGAGGACTATATTGATTTTTTTTTAAGATTTATTTTATTTATTTGAAAGGCAAAGTTACACAGGGAACGGGATGCAGAGGAGGGAGAGGGAGAGGGAGAGGGAGAGTGAGGAAGAGAACTCTTATCCACTGGTTCATTCCCCAAATGGCTGCAGTGGCTGGTACTAGGCTAGGCCAAAACCAGGTGCCTGGAACTCCATTCTGGTCTCTCATGTGAGTAGCAAGGGTGGAGGCAGTTGGCCATCTTTCACTGCCTCCCCGGGATCAGAGGTAGAGCTGTAGGCTGCCAGAGACCCAGGTACTTGAGTTATCACCTACTGCTTCCCAGGATGCACAGTAGCAGGAAGCTGGATTTGAAAACAGAATAGCTGGTCTGAAACCAGGCACTCCAATATGGGATGTGGGCTACTTAACCCACATATGTAATTTTCAGTAGCAACAGAGTGTGTGTGTGTGTGTTTAGAAAGTTGTGTAGGACCTTATGGTATGTGATATGATATGGTATATGATAAAATTTTATTGAAAGTTAGGAAAGAAAGTATACCATGTTAACAGATAGGAAGATTCGAATCCATGTTATTTATGCTCAAGGAGTAGTTGGAATCTCATGCAATTAAATAAAATATTTTTATTTTTTGAAAATTCTGCAAGCTTTCTAAAATTCATCTCAAAGCCCAGAGAGACAAGAATCATCCAGGTAACTTTGAAGAACAAGTTACCTTGCCTTGAAAATTTTAAAATTTTCAAAACACTTTGTGATTTTGACACAAATATAGAATGACCAGTGGAGTGAGACAGGGGGTCCTACAGATCCACACATGTCAGAACATAATATATGATGACATTATAAATGACCAGAGGAAGGCTTTCCATAATAGAAAAATAAGATTGGAGTAAAATATAATTACATCATACACAAAAAGAAATTCCAGCTGAAATAACTTCCACAACCCAGTGAGAAACAGAGACAGAAAACAGTGGATATAGAATATAGAAAGAACTCAGGAGAGGAAACCCAGTTACTAATAAGCATGTGAAACATGCTTATCCTCACTCAGCATCAGGAAAAGTAAAATGAAAGCAATGAGAGAACGTATTTAGGTGCGTCAGATTGGCAGATGTTAAGAAGGTAGTTAATAATAAATTCAAACAAAATTGAAGGCAGAGACCTGTGATATGTATACACTGCTGAGAGTATAAATGGTTATTAACTGTTTTCCAGATGGCTTTGCAGTAACAAATGAGATGTGACTGTCCTAGGACTCCGCAGTTCTTACTCCTAGGTGTTAAGTCCTAGAGAAAGTCTTACATGGGTACCCAAGGAGACAAATACAAGAATGCTTACTGCAGCATTGTTTGTAACAAGGAAAATTGGCAACAAAATGAGTGTTAATTAGTAGAGCAATCCAATAAATTGTGGTTGATTCTTTTACTGTAGTATCTTAAGGAATTAAAATGAATAAATTTAGAGCTGTGTTAACAGACAAATCTTGAAAACCAGGTTCGGTGTTTAAAAAGAAAAACAGATTGAAGCAGGGTATGGATAAAAATATGATAACCTTTATATAAAATATAAAAATTAAAGTATATGTGAAATAACTTGTGTATTGAAGAGATAAATGCACAGTCATTCCTCTGCTGTGAGGCAGGGGTAGGGGAGAGAAATGAAAGACAAGGAAAAGATTAAAGGTATTTTGACGGAATCTATGATATTTTATTTGTCAAAAATCTGAAAGAAATATTGCAGAATAGCAAGATTTGACAAAACAGGGTCTAGATCCCATGGCTATTGAGTACATTATACTTTTGATATACTTAAAATATTTTGTAATAAAGAATAGAAAACACCCTCCCTTAAATATAACATGAAAATGTCCTATTACACTTATGAACAATGTATATGAAGTAAAATGTCTTTTTCTCTGGAAATGGAATTGTTTGTGTCACACTGCTGCTTCATATTGTCTTTTTTTTGTTTACTTTCAGTTGCTTCATGTTCATGAGATCTTCCTTGATTGTCACTACAATTGGGAACTAGTAATCTGGTGCATCTCGTTAACACTTTTTCTCCTGAGATTTGTTACTCTTGGATCAGAAACAAGTAAAAAATATAGCAATACCTCAATATTACTTACTGAACAGGTGAGTATGTTATAAATTAATGTCTGTAATCTACATATTAAGTTAAAATGGTTCCAGGAAGATGTTTTATTTGAATGAAGCCATTTATGCTTTTGATAAGACATAAGACTCCTCAGTGTTTCTCCTTGAGTTCAGATCTCATCTGTCTTTATGTCCCATTTTAATTTGACAAGAAGGAAATAGCATCTATAGAATTTTTTTTTTTGACAGGCAGAGTGGACAGTGAGAGAGAGAGAGACAGAGACAAAGGTCTTCCTTTGCCGTTGGTTCACCCTCCAATGGCCGCCGCGGCCGGTGCACTGCGGCTGGCGCACCTCGCTGATCCGAAGGCAGGAGCCAGGTGCTTTTCCTGGTCTCCCATGGGGTGCAGGGCCCAAGCACCTGGGCCATCCTCCACTGCACTCCCTGGTCATAGCAGAGAGCTGGCCTGGAAGAGGGGCAACTGGGACAGAATCCGGCGCCCCAACCGGGACTAGAACCCGGTGTGCTGGCGCCGCAAGGCGGAGGATTAGCCTAGTGAGCTGTGGCACCGGCTGAAATGATGTGTTTTAAACCATCAGTGGAATATGTTTGCTTTGCAGTGTAGCAAATCTGCATGGAAATAAGTCTGAATTGTTATTTAATAGAATATAGCATAATAATCTTGATGGTTAATTTACTTTGTATGAATTTCTTAAATAGCTTCTTCCACCATTTCATAGGAATTATATAAAGGAACTTATTAGCAATGAATATTCTCATTAAGGATAATTTGACTTTTAAAAATCAATAGCTGTCAAATGAGCTCAGTTAAAGGGAAAGGGGAGATTTGCCAACAACGATCAAGGTCTTTAAGGAAGTCTAAATGTACTTGGGCTTCATGGAGTTGGCCCAAGTTAACTACCTCCTCCAGTTCACTCTGAGACTGATGTCTTTTCATTGCTGCTCTTCCCTGCACCTTTCTTCCCATGGCCTTTCTCTCCTATAATTGTGGCTTATATGTGGTTTTGATTTACCTTAGAATGAGTTCTGCCATAGAGTTTACTGGTTTTTCAGTTCCTGTTCCTGCCATTTTTGGCAGATCCTGTATCAGTCCCACCAGTTCATGTATTGACCAGCTTTGGTTTAGGGTTAGGAAGGGGAGAGAAAGTAGGTGAGCACTGTTGCCCTGGCCTTTTCTCCACAGGCCCATCTGTCAAAGAAGGGAACTATGCAGGTGGGCCACTCAAATCCTTTTAAAAATGTATCTGTGAAGGTGGCATATACCAATGCCATCTTACTAGTCAGAGTGATCAGTTCCAGTTCATAATTGATCATAATGATAAGATTAAGCATCAAAGGGATCACATAAACAAGACTAGTGTCTGCTAATAATGACTGATAGAATTAAAAAGGAGAGAACAATCCAGCATGGGAAGCAGGATACACAGCAGACTCATAGAATGGCAAATGTCCTAAAAAGCACTCTGGCCTCAGAAACAGCCCTTAAGGCATTCGGATCCAGCTAAAAAGCCCATGAGAGTTTCTCAGGCATGGAAAGCCAAGACACTGTGGCAAAAAAATGACCTAAATGAAAGATCTGTGAGTGAGATCCCAGCGGGAAGAACGGGCCATCAAAGAAGGAGGTACCTGAGCCGGCGCCGTGGCTCACTAGGCTAATCCTCCGCCTTGCGGCGCCGGCACACCAGGTTCTAGTCCCGGTTGGGGCGCCGGATTCTGTCCTGGTTGCCCCTCTTCCAGGCCAGCTCTCTGCTGTGGCCAGGGAGTGCAGTGGAGGATGGCCCAGGTGCTTGGCCCTGCACCCCATGGGAGACCAGGAAAAGCACCTGGCTCCTGGCTCCTGCCATCGGATCAGCGCGGTGCGGCGGCCATTGGAGGGTGAACCAACGGCAAAGGAAGACCTTTCTCTCTGTCTCTCTCTCTCACTGTCCACTCTGCCTGTCAAAAAAAAAAAAAAGAAGGTACCTTTCTCTGAAGGGAGGAGAGAACTTCCACTTTGACTATGGCTTTGTCTAAATAAGATCGGAACTTGTGAACTCAAGAGGCTTCCATAGCCTTGGCAGCTCATCACAGGAGCCTGACTTCATAAATAAGAGTGTCAATTGTTAAATTAACAGTGGGAGTCACTGTGCACCTACTCCCCATGTAGGATCTCTGTCCTTAATGTGTTGTACTATGCAAATTAACGGTAAAACTACTACTTAAACAGTACTTTATACTCTGTGTATCTGTGTGGGTGCAAACCGTTGAAATCTTTACTGAATCCTGATGAAGAATGGAATGGGAGAGGGAGTGGGAGATGGATGGTTGTGGGTGGGAGGGAGGTTATGGGGGGAAAAGTCACTACAATCCAAAAGTTAAAAGTTGAAAAAAATGTATATGTGATATAATTTTAAGAATTTTATTAATCTTTTTTTAATGAAAGATAAACCTGTACTTGAAAATGGAGAAGAAACCTAATAAAAAAGAAGAACTGACTCTAGTGAATAATGTTTTAAAACTGGCTACTAAATTGCTAAAGGTAAGAATAAGATTGAAAACGATGTAATATACAGTAACTGTGTTCATACCATATCTCAGCCCTCTGTCTCTGAAGATCCTACCCTTATTTAGTTTTCATGATTACCCACATTGTTTCCGGATTGTGTTTGGGCACATTCATGCAGTTTACATTGTAATTCTCATTGCCAAGATAAACTAATATAAATAATTTCTTGAAAATTGTGTATTAAGATTTTAGAGAATTGTCGAGGTTGACAACATTGGAAATTTATGCCTCATAGAACTTAAATAAATTTCAGACCAGAAGATTTGATGTTAATATGAATAAGCATTTCATTTATAAGTCATTTTGTAAAAATCAAAACTACCATAATTTTTGGAATGTTTGATTTAATCATTTGGGATGATTTAATGAATATTTTATTGCTGTTTTATACTGTTAGTAATGCTTCTCTTAAGAGGAAAATTTTGGGGGCCGGCGCCGTGGCTTACTTGGTTAATCCTCTGCCTGCGGCATTGGCATCCCATATGGGCACCGAGTTCTAGTCCTGGTTGCTCCTCTTCCATTCCAGCTCTCTGCTGTGTTCCGGAAGGGCCATGGAGGATGGCTCAAGTCCTTGGGCCCCTGCACCCACATGGGAGACCAGGAAGAAGCACCTGGCTCCTGGCTTTGGATCGGCACAGTGCCAGCCGTGGCAGCCATTTGGGGAGTAAACCAATGGAAAGATCTTTCTCTCTGTCTCTCTGTCTCACTATCTATAACTCTACCTGTCAAATAAATTTAAAAAAAAAAAAGAGGAAAATTTTATCTTATTCAAAAGAGAGAGGTTGAGAGAGACATCTTTCATCACTGGCTCATTTTTCAAATGCCTGTAACAGCTAGGACTGGACCAGGCCAAAGTCAAGAGTGTGAAACCCATCCCAGTTTCCCACATGAGTGGTAGGGACCAATGTACTTGAGTCATCACTGGCTGCCTCCCAGGGTAAGCATTAGCAAGAAACTGGATTGAAATCAGAGCTGGGACTTGAACCCAGGGCCTCCAATATGGTTTGTGGCTTTCCCAAGTGGCATCTAAACAAACGTACCAGATACCCACATCAGGAAAATATTTTAAATCTCAGTTTCATAATCAGTTGAATATAATTCTTTGAATTATTTATAAGTTTCCAAAGATATCTTGAATTAATAGTTTTGTGTTTGCTTGATACTTGTATGTTGACTTTCCATTGTGTTAGACAAGAGAAGCCTGTACATGTGAGACTTAAAAAGCAGTAACAATCTTAGAGAAATATGAAAGTAACTGAAATACAAAGGTTAGCATATATTGTCTCCTAGTCCAAAACCTGATGCTTAATGTGGATTGAACCTGCTCCCTCTCCCTTCTCTGGTTCTCAGGCCTGCTGATTCAACCCTAAGCTATCTTCCACTTCATCCAGTCTTGCCTGTTAATCCTTTCTTTTGTGAGCTCCTTGTCTCACTTATGATTTTGATACCCTGAACTCCTTAAAAACTGTGCTGGCGTCTGGCCTTTCTGCTCGCTAATCTTCCTTCCACATTGCTGACCCAGTGCTCTTTCTCACATGCACATCTGATGTGCTGTCCCCTGCTTAAATTCCTTTAGTGTCAATCTTTCCACAGTCTGCCCAAAGAGTGGAGTGACCCTGACTTACGGAGCTAACTGTGCGTTTGGAGTGCTGCCTCCCTTGTCCCTGGGCTGTAACCATGCTCAGTATCCTGCAGCAGTTCAAATGTGCTGTGTTCTCAGATGTCTGATAACCCTTTCTCCTTATGGCCCCACTGCTTAGGATCCATTTCTCTGTAATTCAAAGGGCGGTCCTTTGAATTATGTGTATGTCTTACCACAGTAAGGTCCCTCAGCTTAGAGACTGGTTTCCCAGAGCCTACAATGAGGCCTGGCCTGTGGAAGAATTTTAAATGTTCGAATCATATATTTGAAAATGAATTACCTTGAAGGGAAATTTTAACATATGTATTGATATTGTCACAAAAGTTGGCTATTTCAGTTTTTAATTCCTCCACAGTGTCTATTCTAAGTCTTATACTGAATAAAAGCTCTCTAACCTCTGCATAACTACCTGACCAATACTTTACTGATCATTCTTTTAAAGGAAATTACTTTCTCCTAAAATAAATTGATAAATAAAGCTACTATTAAAATTTACTTATTTAAAGTTTAATCAGGTTTATCCTTTCTTTTTTTTTTTTTTTTTTTGATAATCATGGCACCTTTGCCATTCATTTATTTATTTATTTATTTATTTTTAACTTTTATTTAATGCATATAAATTTCCAAAGTACGACTTATGGATTACAATGGCTTCCCCCCCATACCATCCCTCCCACCCACAACCCTCCCCTTTCCCACTCCCTTTCCCCTTCCATTCACATCAAGATTCATTTTTGATTATCTTAATATACAGAAGATCAGCTTAGTATACATTAAGTATGGATTTCAACAGTTTGCTCCCACACAGAAACATAAAGTGAAAAATAATAGATGATTTTTTTTAAATGATGATGAAATCAGAGCAGACCTATTGTCATGTTTAATCCCAGTGAGAGTCAAGTTGGGAATTGATAATTTCGTTAGTTTTTTTTTACAGAGATCAGTTTAGTATGCATTAAGTAAGGATTTCAACAGTTTGCACCCCCATAGAAACACAAAGTGAAATATATTGTTTGAGTACTCGTTATAGCATTAAATCTCAATGCACAGCACATTAAGGATAGAGATCCTACACGAGGAGTAAGTGCACAGTGACTCCTGTTGTTGACTTTACAAATTGACACTCCTGTCTATGGCATCAGTAATCTCCCTATGCTCCAGTCATGAGTTTCCAAGGCTATGGAAGCCCTCTGAGTTCTCCGACTCTTATCTTGTTTAGACAAGGTCATAGTCAAAGTGGAAGTTCTCTCCTCCCTTCAGAGAAAGGTACCTCCTTCTTTGATGACCTGTTCTTTCCACTGGGATCTCACTCGCAGAGATCTTTTGCCAGAGTGTCTTGGCTTTCCATGCCTGAAATACTCTCATGAGCTTTTCAGCCAGCTCCGAATGCCTTTAGGGCTGATTCTGAGGCCAGAGTGCTATTTAGGACATCTGCCATTCTATGAGTCTGCTGAGTATCTCACTTCCCATGTTGGATCACTCTCCCCTTTATTTACTCCATCGGTTAGCGTTAGCAGGTACTAGACTTGTCTATGTGCTCCCTTTGACTCCCAGTCCCTCCACCATGACCAACTGTGAACTGAAACTGATCACCTGGAACAGTGAGATGGCATTGGTACATGCCACCTCGATGGGATTGAATTGGAATCCCCTGGTATGCTTCCAACTCCACCACTTGGGGCAAGTCAGCCTGAGCATGTCCCAAATTATACATCTCTTCCCTCTCCCATTCCCACCACCATGTTCAACAGGGATCACATTTCAGTTAATTTTCAACACTTAAGAATAACTGTGCATCAATTACAGATCTAAACCAGTCATATTAAGTAGAACATTATCCTTTCAAAAAGTACCCATTACTTATAGTTTTTTGGAAATAATGTTTTTTTCGAATCCTCATTGCAATTGCCTTGAATGATTTGAACTGATGATTATTCTTGAATCCGGAGCTACTGGGTTTTTATATCTCTTTCCTGCTAGGAACTGGACAGTCCCTTTCGACTGTATGGACTCACGATGAATCCGCTGCTCTACAACATCACCCAGGTTGTCATCTTGTCAGCTGTCTCTGGTGTGATCAGTGACTTGCTTGGGTTTAATTTAAAGGTAGGAGCTTGCAAGGAGTTGTTATCTCTTAGCGCTCTGCTGTCTTCCTGGGACACTTACTTCACCCTGCCACTCTGCTGGGATCCCACAGGCCCAATAGTAGAATCATTCTGATAAGATTATACAACGAGTAGCCGGCGCCGCGGCTCACTAGGCTAATCCTCCGCCTAGCGGCGCCGGCACACCGGGTTCTAGTCCCGGTCGGGGCGCCGGATTCTGTCCCGGTTGCCCCTCTTCCAGGCCAGCCCTCTGCTGTGGCCAGGGAGTGCAGTGGAGGATGGCCCAGGTGCTTGGGCCCTGCACCCCATGGGAGACCAGGAAAAGCACCTGGCTCCTGGCTCCTGCCATCGGATCAGCGCGGTGCGCCGGCCGCAGCGCGCCGGCCGTGGCGGCCATTGGAGGGTGAACCAACGGCAAAGGAAGACCTTTCTCTCTGTCTCTCTCTCTCACTGTCCACTCTGCCTGTCAAAAAAAAAAAAAAAAAAAAAAAAAAGAAGCTTTTACGTCCCTCTTAGCAGAAGGAATGATATAGATTCAAGGCTGATAGTACTGGTAGAACTCCTGTTTTGGAAGAGCATTCATTATAAATAGAACTCTTGAGTAGGCAATATTTTTTTTACTCTTTTAATATGAATCTAATTTAGGTGATAAAAGAGGAAAAAGAAGAGCCCTATTTCTATTTTTGGACCAAAGTTGTATTATTTGTCTACTAAAGCAGTGTATATATACGTCCTCTAGTATATATACAACTGTTGTAAGATGTGGGGTAATCATGGTAAACAAGTCATAGAAGTATTTTGTCACTTCTCAGTAAAATGGAGCAAAAGAAATCTTATTTTCACTTTTTTTTTGTTTGTGTTTAAGGCAAACTCCTCCTGAAAATAAAAGAGTAAAGGAGTTATAATCTTAACACCTGTACTTGTATTTTGATTAAAATAATATCATGTGATATGATTTCAGTTTCAGTGTTACAACAGCTCTAATGGTGACTACTTGTATTTTTTTTCTCTAGCTTTGGAAGATCAAATCATGATGGTTCCGAGGAGAGCAGATGTGGCCTCTTTTCCAGAGAGAGGGAACTGATGACGCTGCCTGAGAGCAGTCGCTGACTGCCCGGGAGTCTCAGCTGGGAAACTGAAGTGTTTACATCAGACTGTCTTGTGCAATTCTTATATTTATTTTACTTGTTCACTGTTTTTTTTTTTTTTTTTACATTTACTTTAGTCTTTATATTTTATTTTTAAGCATTGATGTACTTAGTTGTTGAAAGGGTGATAAAACTGGTACCAATACTTGAGATCCTGGTAATTGCTCACAAATAGTTGACAGAATAACAAATTGTGACAACAGAAGCCATGGCTAAGCTAAGCACTGTTTCTCCATCGATGCCGTGAACTTGCCTTACTTGAGAAAAAACTCTAACTTTGGAATATTGCATGGGACTGAGCGAAACACAGATAGCATGTTCTTCAGTAAATCCAGACCAGTCAGGGTTTTTCTTGGGTTATTTTGGACAATGCCAGGATCTAAACTGATTAAGCTGCAGTTGAAGCACCCTTCAGTATTAATATATATATCGTATTACATACAGGTCAACAAGTGCTCTTTGATGATAAAACTCTTAATAGAGCAATAATTGTAAATGGTTACCATACTGTAAGATATTTTGATAAAAATTAGTAATAATTGTATTTATTTGAAACACTGGGCTGTTTGCACAGCTCCGACTGTGCATGCTCAAAATGTGCACTTTTTAAAATTGTTACTTTTACTGCATATCTTTATAGGGGATATGTTATAGTGTACTAGGGCGTGATATGGTATCACTCACAAGTGAAGTGCCTATTGATATAACTAAAGTATATTATGTTTACTCAAGTGAAATAATTTTTCCCCCATGGTACACTATAGTGTATGCTGTTCATACCACACTCAAATGAGCAACTTAAGGATAAGGTTGAGAATAAGTAAAATATTCCTCAGATTGCTAGTTATGAAATTATATCCAAATTTTCATAAAAGACAGCTTCAGCTTGCAAATTCTGTCCTCCGAACTCAATCTGGTGCGTTTCCCTTCCCTGCCCCCATCCATTTTATAAGGGCTATTTTAGATGTTGTTAACCTGGAAGGTTAACTAGCACCACCCCTTCGATCATTTGCCAAGTGTCCAGTGAGAACTCACCATGTTGGCACGTTAGGTAAATAGGCAACTATGATAGTATCTTTATTGGGCCTTGATTTTAAGTTGTTATGTTTGTACAATCAGAAGTGTTTTAGGACTTCCATGAAACATGAGATGTTTTTCAATTTTTTTTTTTTTAACTGGGCATCTGGTTTCTAAAACAAAGAATTTATTTAAAACAATCTAGAATTTTCTTGGTGCAAAGTGTATCAAGTTGGATATCCTCACATTTTTACCATGTTTTAAGGAGTTTAAAATAATTAATTGTAAATAATTTATTTGATTGGTGCAGGTCTGATCCCCAAATCGTCATCTTAAAACCAGGAATGTGTGGAGAACAGAGCCATGCCACATCAGCGTGCTCTTGCCATTCCTTTGGGCAGCCTCAGCTCAGCCTCACCATGCAGTACGTTCTTTTTATGTAGAAGACAACCGGAAGCATTTTGTTTTATTTGCCTCTGTGCTAATATGTTTAATAATGACCAAAGTGCATTCTGAGTTTTCTCAAAGAATGTATTACTGGAGCTTTAAGAACATACTTAGTTTCTCATGTGAAAATTTAGGCTTTGTCTGGTATGTTTCTTCTTCCTCTATTGTCTAATGTTGAGGTTGTTTTTAGGAATTATATTTTATAAACTTTTTCAAAATAAGGTACATACCTATACAGAACTTAACATTTTGCACAGAATATATCAAATATATTTTGAGAAAAAAAAAAGTACGGCATGAGTTCTGTTAGGAGTAAAAGATGAAATTATTGTATCTCACACACACAAAAAACTTATTTCAGAATGGAAATATTTTTGAGAAAAGTAGTTGAGTATAATGATTTAGGAAAATGCTTGTTCCAGGTTGAACTTCAATTTAACATAGAGTTGGGAATTGATTTATTAAGTACAGTGTACATGTCAACAGCGTGTAACATATTGAATTATGGTCACTTATGTGAGCAGCAGCAGGATACTAAAAGGACAAAGTTGTCATTTCAAGGAATCTCAGAACATTAACAAAACTGTTTTCAAAGGAGAAAAAAAAATCGGCACTGCTGCCTTAAGAATACCATGAATGTAAGAAATGGTAGCACATCACATAAAATAGAAAAGGCAGTTCAAAGATAGAATTGTGGCAGATGCTGTGTGTTAACTGTCGTTTCTTTGCCACATGTGTTGTATTTGAAAGTTTGAACAGCAAGTTTAAAATAAAGCATTCTATGACTGACAGTGTTGGTTTGTTTTTTAAAAAGCTTTCAAGTCACACTTCTGTGATAATTTTGTGATTGCTATAACATGAATTTTAGTTTTAACTGGTGGATTTAGGGGAAGTGAAAATAAATGTTTTAAAACATAGTAGCATTTAATATTTTGTTAGGATTCTCACATGAAAGATTAATAACATATACACAGAATTTTCACCTCCAAAGAGCTATTATGTCATTAATGTTTGTATTTGCAAACAGAAAACTAGTGGTAACCTGTGATGTTAAAACTCACAATTGGAAGGATAGTGGTGGTTTTTTTCCCCAAGCAAAACTGCATCCAACTTTGTTAAAGATTGTTTTCATAAACAGTCCTGGTTTTTCGGGCAGGCGATGGGCAGATGAGAACAGCTTTCAGCTCCCCTCTTCCACGAACCACCCAAATCAGAAAGGCACTGTAAAACCCAATGAAGTCTTGCTTTGATGTTCTGCAAATGGGAAGTTCAGAGTGAGGGTTGACATTTCACTTCTAGCATGTTGTTTAACAACTTTTCACAAGCTGATCCGACCCTGACTTGGAAAAAATGAAATGAGAATGGCAGAATGATCGATCTGAAAACCCCCACTCTAGAGAAGGAGCCGTTGCTGTCTTGAGGGACCGCTTCCCCATGGCCAGACTGCCTGCCATGCTGGTAACACAGTTTTTGGAGTCAGGTCTCAACAGTTGTCTGGGTTTCAGGGAATGAAGTCTGTGCTGAAGGCGGACAGGGAGGAGGGTTTAGTTTTTCCACGCCACAAGGTTTTGTGCCCTGTGACTGTGTGGCGTGTGTCAGCAGTAGAGTGTCCCACCTGGGAACCAAGTGGAAGGCTCAGAACTAGAAGAGAAAGGTGTTTTCCCCCACGTCGATCCAGCTTCGGGGGCATTCTGTTAGTGACCCATGCCTCTTCCCCAGAAACAACAGTGTTCTGTGTGCTAACCACATAGCTTTAAGAAAAAGGTATGCCGGTGCCGTGGCTCACTAGACTAATCCTCCGCCTTGCGGCTCTGGCACACCAGGTTCTAGTCCCGGTCAGGGTGCCGGATTCTGTCCCAGTCACCCCGCTTCCAGGCCAGCTCTCTGCTATGGCCCAGGAGTGCAGTGGAGGATGGCCCAAGTCCTTGGGCCCTGCACCTGCATGGGAGACCAGGATAAGTACCTGGCTCCTGCCTTCGGATCAGCGCGGTGCGCCGGCGCAGCAGCCGTTGGAGGGTGAACCAACGGCAAAAGGAAGACCTTTCTGTCTCTCTCTCACTGTCCACTCTGCCTGTCCAAAAAAAAAAAAGTGGAGCAGCTGGGACTTGAATCAGTGCCCATATAGGATGCTAGCATCACAGGCAGCAGCTTTACCCGCTGCACCACAACACCAACCCCAGATAGTTATGTTTTTAAACAGATGATTTTACCACATGAACTCATCATGAAAGATCATGGCCAACTTTAGTCTGGTTAAGGATTCTAATATTTCGACTATCTGAGTGGTACAAGTGTCCAGAGGGCTTAAATTAGTCAGCGACTATTCATTCAAGTGTATTTTCAGGCTTGAACTTAAGCTCCTCATAGTTGGCATTTTGAAGGAGTTTTCCCTTCAGACTTCAAAACAGAGCATGCCGCCTGCCACTGCTTTCATTTGCTGCCTCACAGCACCAACACTCAGCCTTTCTGTTGGCCGAGCCTGTAAGGAGACCACAAGTGCTTGACAGTGACACTCGCTTGCCACGGCTCTTACTTCCTGGGAGTGGGCTGCGGGGCTAGGAGGCTCACTCTAAAGTGCTTTTCCTACTTTCTTACACCACCCAATGTGATGCTTCTGACACAGGATTCTCCAGTGGACTCCCATGGGGTGTCCTATAATCTTAAGTCCATTCTGACACTCTACCAGGAGACAGACTGACCTCACTTCAGATGCCAGTTGCAAGCCCCTGGGCTTCTGACGGTCCAGTTCTCAATTAGGGTTCCTCCAACCCTCCCTTGGGTCCAGTTAATTTGCTAGAGCCCCTCACGGGACTCGGGAAAACACTCTTGACTTATTCTAGAGGACAGATGATGGAAGCAATGCATATGACAAAAATGCAGGGGAGGGATGCAGAGCTTCTGTGCCCTCTCTGGGCTGTGCCACCCCACTCTGTGCAGGAACTCCTGCAGGCTTGACAACCAGAAACTCAGAGCCCTGTGGCTGAGGAATTTTTGGGGATGCTTCATTTTATAGAGGTGATTACATATTAACCCCATGTCTAGCCCCTTGCCCCTAGGGAATAGAAGTGGGACGGAAAGCCCCAAGCTTGGAACCATGGTGTGGTCTTTCTGATGAACAGGCCCCAGGCAGGAGCCCAGCAACAGTCACTTCACTTAAACAAAAAATGCTCCTGTCACCCAGGAAATTCCAGAGGACTTCAACTAGAGTCAAAGACCACAAATACTAGAATCAGATTCTCCTAGGACCACCGTCACTCAGGATGACAAGGATTTTAGGAGTTCTGCCAAGGATGGCCAGAGACCAAGATAAACGTATTTCTTATTTCACAGAGGTGGCACAGATGTGCTTTCAGACTTATTCCCCAAATGATTTGGAAAGCTGCTGCCACCTGCCACCGCCCCTCACCACCTTGAGAATTACTGTCTTATGAAAGCTTACTTATATTCACTACCATATTCCCAATGCCTACAACGGTGCCTGATGCGTAGAAGATTCTACTTATCAAATGATGAGTTGAATAGGAATTTAGAGGCCCCTAGCTCATGTTTACCATATTTAAAAAAAAAAAACAAAAACAAAAACAAAAAAAACCACAAGAGGTTAAGAAGCTTGCCCTTGGAGCAGGGATTAAACCTGTTTTGAGACTCCCACATCCCTGTTGAAGTGCCTGGGTTCAGCTGCTGGCTCTGAGTCTGACTCAAGCTGCCTGCTGATGCGGATCCGGGGACGCTGCAGGGATGGCTCCCACCCAGGTGGGAGACCTGGATGGAGTCTCCTGATTTTGGCCTGGCCTCACCCCAGCTGTTGCAGGCATTTAAGGGGTGAACCAGTGGGTGGGGAGCCCTCTCACTGCCACTCAATTTTTTCAAAAGTAGCTTGCCCAAGGTTTCCCAACTAGTCAATTATAGAACTCAAATTCTCCTTATAACCTTTTAGGATATATTCTGTATTAGTCTCTCTCCCCCCACCAAAGGTTGGTTGGTTGGTTGGTTGGTTGATCTATTTGAAAGGCAGTGTGACAGAGAGAGAGCAGAGAGAGGGAGAGACAGAGATCTCCATTCACTGGTGTACTCTCCAAATGACTGCAAACAGCCAGGACGAGGCCAGGCCGAAGCCAGAAGGTAGGAACTTCATCTAGGTCTTCACATAGGTGGCAGGGTCCCAAGCCTGTGTCATCCACTGCCTTCCCAGGCACACCAGCAGGGAGCTGGATTGGAAGTAGAGTAGCCGGGATTCAACCGGATTCCAACTGGCACTCAGATACGGACTGCCAGCATCACAGGCATCAGTTTAAACCCCTGTGCTGTCGCTCCCCGTCTTCGTGGAGGAACGACACAGGACCCTGCGCTGTTCTTTCGTCTGCTCGGCCCTCCCTGGGTTTGCTGCTGGTTCTTCCCGGGTTGGCTACCATCCCTTCCACCTCCGTGGAAGGGCGGTTCCCCCTGCCACTTTCCCCACTTCCGCGGGGGAGAGGCACACCGCCGGCCGGCTCTCTCGGGGGCTGCACAGGTGTTCCTTCAGATAGATGTTCCTGGTGCATGTTATCTCTCTCCTCCTTTATAGTCCTCTTCCACCAATCCCAACTCTGCTACCCACACGCCGAGTACACTGCTCTCCTCCAATCAGGAGCAGGTCCTGCTGTTTATTGGTTGAACTGGAGGCAGCTGTGTAGAAGCTGTTTCCTCCCTTCTCAGCGCCATATTGTGGGAGAGCAGATGCATAGAATAAGTCTTAATTCCAGTAACTTAGTCTAGTCCAAGTTGCTCCCAGTTGCTCCCCACACTGTGCGACAGGACCAACTTTGTGTATGAGTATTTGGCACCTCTTGAATGATCAGAATACTTAATCAAAGAAAAATATTCTGAGAGAACAGAGGTAACTGATCATTTATCTGTCCATATTTGTAGAGAGGTCATAGGCGAACTAAGAAAGCTTGGCAATAGTATTAATTCCTTCCTTCCTAAGCAGCCATGCTGAAATGCGGGAGGGAAGTCTCTTGTTCTTTTGCATGCCTACATATGTCATTCAGTCATGAACGACCTTGAGAACTTTTAGATTCTCAGATGCATGTCCTTGCTCCTCACAACCAGATCTCTGTCTCATTTGTTTGCGGACTCTCAGGCTCACAAAACCCTGAATCCTGTTCACACTTCCGAGTATCTACAAATCCTGCCTTTCGAGATGTTACTGGAACCTGAGTCCTGTATTGACAAGGTTTGCTTGTTTAGGGATCTCCTGTCCATTCATATGTAGCCTACATTGCCTCTTCCAAGCCTCCTTTATCACCCTTGAGCCCCTAATCTCTCTGGTCCTGTAACTACCGGCATCTTCTCCTCTAAATTTTCTGGAAAGAAACATCATTAAGCCTGGCTCCTACCACCTTTCCCATCCTGCAGCTCTGCGGAAGCCATGGGGCTCCCGGAGGCTGTCTCCCCCTCAGCACCCAGGATCCTGTCACTGCGCTTTCCTGATTTTGTTTTGTAACCCCTTGAGGCTTCCACAAGCGTTCCTGGTGTCCTGAGGAAGAGAAACTTTTCAAGGTGCTGAGGTTGGCTGGAGCCACAGTATACCAGATGGCCCTGTGCCATACACCCAGCCTTCATCCAGACAAGGCATCCAACCTTTGTTGGATGACCTCACTTTCTCTCTTAGCCATGGTGAGCAGGTCAGTGATTGAGGGCTGGTCCTAAGGCAGCCAGCCATTCTGTGGGCCTGCCAGGGGTTTATGGGACCAGCTGGCCGAGAGCTTTGCCTGGTAGACTTGATGATAACTTGCTGGCCTAGTCAGCT